TAAAGGCTATTGTAATGGGCATGAGGAGGATCTCACTGTACTTTTCACTAATGATCCATGATATTGAGCATCTTTTTATGTGCTTACTGGTCACATATATCCTCTTCGGAGAAACATCTTTTCAATTCCTTTGAATCATTTTTTTTAATTAAGTTGTTCATGTTTTTGCTTTTGAATGTCCAAAGTTCTCTATATATTCTGAATATTTTATAAGATAGATAAACAACTTGAAAACATGTCCCCATTTTGTGAGATTTTTTTACTCTCTTCATAGTAACTTTTGATTAACAAATGTTTTAACTTTCACAAAATCCAATTTGTCTATTTTCTTCCTTTGGTTGTCTGCATGGATGGTGTAATATTTTTAGAAAATCATTGTCAAATTCAGTGTCACAAAGCATTTTCCCTATGCTTTCCTCTAAGGTTGTACAGTCTTAATTAAGTCTTTAGATCTTGAACCCATTTGAGGTAAATTTGCATATGGTGATGGGGAAGCTCAAGCTTCATTCTCTTGCATATGGAAATCGAGTTTTTCTCAACACTAATTATTTAAAAGACTGTCCTCTACTCCAAAAATGGTCTTAGAAGCCTTAACAAGAAACCATTTAAGCATATATGTGAGAATTTGTCCCTGGGCTTTCTATTCTTTTCCATGGATTTGTATGTCTCTCTTTATGCTAGTAGCACCCTTTGCAGTTAGTTTTGAAACAAGTAAGTGAATCCTCCAATTTTGTTCTTCTTTTTCAAAAATATTTGACTATTCAGGTTCCTTCAAAATGTCATATAAATTTTAGGGTGTATTTTCTTTATCTGCAAAAAACATCCTTGATATTTTGTTAGAGCTTGCACTGAAACTGTCAACTGCTTTGGATGGTCCTGACAACAATATTACATGCTCCAACCCATGAAAGAGAGATGTTTTCATATATTTTATGCCATAATTAATTTGTTTCAGCAACATTTTATAATTTTTATTGTACAAATTTTTCATTTCCTTGGATAATTCTGAAGTACCTTGTACTTTTTCTTGTTATTATAAATTGTTTTCTTAATCTCCATTTTAGACTAGAAATGCAACAAATTTTTCTTGTGCTGAATTTTATTCTGCTACTTCACTAAATTCATTTGTTCTAAAAGCTTTTTGAGGAATCTTTAGGATTTTCTACATATAAGTTCATATCATCTTCATACAATGACTGTTTGACTTCTTTTTAATTTGAATGCCTTTTATTTCATCTTGCCTAGTTACTCTGATTAGAAGTCCCAGGGCTAAATTGGTGAAAGTATTATTGGGTATTAATGGGTATTATTGACTTTTTCTGATCTCAGTGAAAAAGTCTTTGGTCTTTCACCATTGATGATGAAGTTTGCTGTGAGTCTTTCATAGGAGGCCTCTATTATGTTGCAGTAGCTTCTTTTTATTCCCAGCTTGTTAAATGTTTTTATTGTGAAAATGTATTGAATTTTGTCAGATTTTTTTAATGCATCGGTAGAGACTGCCATATGAAGTTGGTTCTGGTCACGTGGGATGTTTTGCTAGTACCTTTCACATGTGACACATTCCTGCATCTCAGGAGTTAACCCCAGTTTGTCACACAATCATTTTAATATTCTATTAAGGCTCTCAGAAGCCAGCTATCTTGTATTGTTGGGGATTTGGGCATTAATTTTTGTGAGGAATATCAGCTCGGTTTTCTTGTAGTGTCTTTGTTTGACTTGAGTATCAGGGTAATGCTAGCTCACATATGACTTAAATAGTGTTCCTCCACCTTCAATGTTTTGTAAAAGATTGAGAAGAACTGATGTGAACTCCTCTTTAAATGTTGGGAGAAGCCATCAGATCCAGGGATTTTCTTTGCCAGGACACGTGTGAATGCTGGTTATTCTATTTTCTTATTATTTTGTCTTGATAGGCACTGTGTTTGTGTAAATTTTCCCCTTAACTCTATCAAATTTTGACAAACTGAACTTCTTCAGCTCCACAGTTTCTTTTTTATTGCTTTTTAAATTTTTAATCTCTTTTTTGACAATTCATTTTGTTAATGGATCACTTTAACTTTCTCCACATCTGCCTTTGGTCCTGTTAGCATTTTTAAGACATTTTTTATGCCATCTTCTCAGCACAGTTTCTGCTGGCTTATTATTTTCTTTGGAATGGATATCTTTCCTGTCTCTGTGAATGTCTTGTGACTCTGTTGTAACACAGACATTTGAATCCAACAACTCAATTGTCAATTCTGGATTTCAGACTGCCCCAGGTCCTCGGAGGGGATGATAGTGTTTTGTCGTGTTTTTTCCTGCAGTGACCTCCTGTGCCAAGCACAGCCTTAGGTTACACCCAGTTCTTCCCAGGTCTGCTCTGAGCCTGCACCTTTCCCTGGGCACATGAGGTTACTTTCTAACTCCCTCATATAAGCAGTTACTTTGACTTTCCTAGTGTTTATTGTCTGGACCCCAAAGGGGAAAGGCAGAATAGTGAAGGGGATTCTGCTTCCTTGTGCTCCTTTTGAAGTAGACCAGTCCAAACCTGGCTTGGACTCAGCATGTAGCCCAGGCTGCCCTCTTACCTCGCGACCCTTATGCTGGGATTACAGGTATGTGCCACTGTGTCCCAGCTGAAGAAGACTTTTCAATGGCACCAACCCTGTGAGTTCCCAGAAATCACTTCCACAGCAGAGGAAGGGAGCTGGCACAGAGTCCACAGAGGCAGTTGCTCTGCGTCTGCACCTCCTCATCTGAAGCCACCTTGGCAGTCGGGTCACAGATCCCCCACATGCGGAAGACGTGGTCCTTCACGGAGCCAGCACTGCCGGGTGCCACAGGGCTGGGGGTGGGGTGGGGCCCAGTGACAGCTGATGAGCAAAGAGCTGTAACTGAACAGTCAGCTGCAATTCGTCACCTACACATTCTTCTGGACGTTGATAGCATGCAGTCAGCTCCAGAGTTCCAAGGTAGCTGCGTCAGATAGGCCATCCCAGGGACTGCTGCCTGAGAGGGACACAGACCCCTGGTCATTCTGCTCCACCCTCTGCCCAGGACCCTCTCCGTGCTCCATTACCACTGTCCCCACTGCACAGAGGAGAAAATGAACACACCCACAGAGAGAAAAATCTAATTAACAGTCCAAACATATAACATTTTGGGTCACTTCCCAAGCAAAATGAAGCAGTGTTCCACTTGACACTCACAAAGGACAACGATGTCGGCAGATTAATAGGCCAGTTGCTTCAATATTTATAAGAAAAAGCCAATTTTGTCCTATTTCAGATGTTTTATTCATGACTGAAGACCTGCGTGTACATCTCTTCTCCTTGTTGCTCGAGTTTCAAGTTTTGATGTTTTCTATCCAGGACACAATATGCTTACCTCAAAAAATAGACATCTGCTCCTTTGCAGAATTCAGTGCCCTTTTATCAGCAGAAAAGAGGAGCTGTCCAGGTGGAACTGGATTTATGAAAATGTAAATTTACTTCAATGGCTTGTTTGTTTAAATAGTTTTACAGAATTTTAACAGCAAGGTACGAGTCATGGCATATGGCTTCCTATCATGACATGAAAAAGTTCTTAGTCAAATGTAAATTCTTGTGTTTGGGTTTTACCAGGTATGAAATCTCATCAGAAGTTACCCATGATTCCACAAGCTAAATTTCCCTTGAGAGATAAGTTTGAATGATCTCACACACACGGCCCCCTGAAACGTTAACCTTGAACATCGCAGTGGAAGATACCTGCAGCTGCTACAGACCCGACCTCAGCACCTCAGGAAGAGCAAGATATATGAGGCCCAAACCCTGCCCCACCTGTGCTCCCTCTGTCACCACAGCTACTGATGAGCCCATTGGAAATGCCAAGCTAGCCCACTGTCCAGGGAAAATGCATTATGAATGAGTCTGTCAGTGACTCAGAACAAAGCATAAATCTCTAACCCTAATGTTAGCCTCAAATTTTTTAAAGGAATTTGACTATAATATTACAGTTGCTGTTCTATTCAGGCAGCTGCAATTTATTGAGACAATCGGATTTTTAGTTTATGTTCGCAGCCATCTCTTTCCATGTGTGCAGATGTAATACAATACCTGAGGCTAGGTAATTTATAAAGAGCAGAGATTTATTTCCTACACTGAGAAGTTCAAGGTCAAGGGCCTTCTTACTGCTTTAGATCACAGCAAAAGGGGGAGGGGGATGGAGAGAGACAAAGGCTCCTCTTTTTACCCAGAATGAGCTCCCTCGAGCAGTCACTAACCCACTCAGACAACAACATTGTTCGTCCGTCTGAAGGGTGGAGTTCTAATCACTTCTTAAACACAGCATTCGACTATGTTGCATGGGGACCACATTTGCAATACTGAACACTGAAGGACAACACGTTCAAGCCACAGCACCGTCGTATCAATAAATCTACACCAAAATCCAAACAGGCTGAGTCAGTTTCACTCAGTTTCTTTGAAGCCCCTCCACCTGTTTTAGGTTTAAAAGCCTCCAAATGTATCCTATGCCAGGTCAGGACCCGGAAAGAATGACATTATCTCAGCCACCCAACGTTATAAAAAGGAAGACAGACACTGCACATCACATTTCTACGGCAGATGCATTCAGCCCGCTGTGCGGGTGTGCATCCGAGAGTCAAAAGGCCCCAGGCAGAAGCCGCTTATTTCTCCCATCGTCTGCCTCCTCCCCACTGCAACCCACAGCACGGAGCTTCAGCAGGAGAATCTGCTCGCACACCCCTCACTCACTATTCATCGTTTCATTCACTCATTCATTAATTCAAGACATTCTAAACCACAGGGGGTCATCAGGAGTTCCGCAGGGACAAGAAGCAACACCACCACCTAAAAGAGCAGCTTTAAATGTTCACCGCCTTGTTTAAGTGAGGGGCTTAGCAAGAGCTACCCTGAAACTTTATCATTATTTCCACTCTCTGTGCTCTCAGAAACCAGCCTAATGAAAGATGAAGAATAACAGAACATTTTGCTTTGCATAGGAAAGCTTGCCCTGGAATATTAGTTATGCATTTGGGGCTGGAGGTGGGGAGAAGAGCTCTTGTCATGCCTTTGAAGTGTACCAAATGCTCACCCATCCTCAAACGCTGTTTGATCTGACTTGGCTCAGAAGTCCCTCATTCTCTTTTGCTATTCTCAGTTGCAGTTTTTCCACACTTTGTGAGCTGCTCCTCCAGCTCTTCAGTGCCTTCTGGAAATGAAAAGAAGCAATTGACTTTTCCATAAGTCAAACTGCCATCTGTTAAGGGGACTGCCCCCCTGCTCTTTAAATCTGTTTAGAAAGTTAGTTTCCTACTTCCTGGTGTCTTCCCCAGACTCAACTGGAGATCTTAACTAAACTGTGAGGCTTAGTGACTTCAATGTTACAGGCTTCAGGACTGAACAGAAAGAGAACATGAAAGGGAACAACTGCTCTCCCGCACAGCAGGGAAGCAGACAGAGTCCAAGGCTGAAAAACCTTCCCCAGTAGGCTGCTCCATTCAGATTCAGCAGGGGGAATCTATAATCATCACAAGAACAATTACCATTGTTGTATTCTAAACCGGGCTTGACAGTGCTGCCCTTCTTTTTATAAACTCTGTGTTGGCCACACTGTAGCTTGGAAATCATCCTCTCTAAATGTCCTCCTTCACGGCAGGCGCCTGCAAACAGAGGGGCATTCACCACAGCTGGCCCTGCCTGCAAAGGTGACAAAATTCTCTTGGGGAAGCAGACATCCTCACCAGACACACAGGGCCTCTGCGGCAGGTTTGGCTCCTGTCCTACACCACCAAATCTTCTAACCACTCAGATTTGATGTTTGTGTTTCTCTCTCTCGTTTGTCCTTTCTTTTCTTTTCTTTTCTTTTCTTTCTTTCTTTCTCATATTCTGAAACACCACAAGGAGGAAAATAGCATTGCAATTGAGATTACCAAAGGGCATAAATATTTTATAGCAATAGGAAAAGTCACAATTCATTTGCTTCATTCATTATAACTGTGAACGTCAACATCTCATTTTTTTAATTTACAAAACGAAGAAGTCAACCTGAACAATCAAAAGCATGGCAATGTCCTTCAAAAGAAGTTGCCTGTGATGTTTGCAGCATTTCTATGAGTACGCACTTTGATTTTTCAACAAAATTCATTAAATAGGGATTGAGATAGGCATTCTGAATGAGTGAAATAGTGCATATTGACAGATTATTCCCAAGACATGCCTGCTGCGTTACTTTCAAGCAATGGTGTGACTAGAGCCAAAATAAATTGAGGATCATCTAATAAAAGTCCTGGCTTTATTGAATACTATTTATTGAATATTATTTCCCACAAGCACTTCAGTTTTCTAGGATGTAAATATTTACTTGTGAAGTGCTTAAAGGAGCTTACAAAGTTTATTGACACTACTTATTCATCAAATACACCGTTAGAAAAAATTGAGCATTAGATTCTAGGATGGCATCCACCCAATAATTTCAGAAATCTAGCTCAGAGTCGTGGTCAACACACCCTTTTCAATTCTTGTATATTGTAAGGAACTTAGCTAAGAATTAGAAATGCAAAGAGGTAAAGAATATAGGCTAGTTGGGGACATACTGTACACAAACGCAATGCACGCATGGTACTAGGAAATACGTGAGTGGTTAAAAACAACAGATTCAAAGCAATTCTGGAGAAACCTCAGTAAACAAAAATGAGCAGAACTGAAGTTCAAGGCACGGAAACTGAGCATGTAGGAGGTGAGTGTGCTCGCGGCTTCCTGGGCTCCCCGCCAGGCTGAAGCGGAAGTGCGGAGAGCTGGGCAGAAGCTCCAGGGTGTGCGGGAGCCCCTCACCGCAAACATGAAGACATCTAAATGTAATTGCTAAAAACAAGTTTAAAACGCCATGGGTAACAGGATGAATGTTCAAAATGGTGTTTTCTAAAAAACTAGCTGTAATGAAGCAAAACTGGCCAGTAGGAGAGAGGAGCGTTTTGTGGCCTGCACATATCTTAATATTTCAGTTTGTATGTGTATGGGCATCTAGCTTTTGTGAATTTGTGCTTTTTTAGATCAAAACAGCAAGAAAAAAAGACCCAAGATTTAATTTGAAAAGTAGAAATTAAGGTAAAATACCAAAATATCTTTACATAGGATTTAAATTTTAAATTTAACTATTTACTTTGTTGTTACCCTTGCTGCTTTATGTATCTAATTCAGATGCATTTTTTAATCAATCAACTTTATTTCTTAGGGAAGTTTTATGTTTACAAGAGAAATGAATAGAAAATACTTTTTTTTTTTTTTTTTTGCCTTCCCAGCCCATAATTCCCTTACTACTGACATCCTGCTCCTGCACTGACAGGATGTGGCACATTTACCACAATTGGACCGATACTAATACATCAATATCGTCTAAAGCCCATAGTTTACATTAAGATTCACTCCACATATCCTGTAGTTCTTTGAGTTTTACAAAATGTTTAATGTCTTCGTCCTGAACCTCTCAGCCCTCTGATCTTTTTACTGTGTATTTTTGCCTTTTACACGATGTCCCATTTTTAGAGTCATAACATGAAGCTTTTTAGCCTGGCTTCTTTCACTTAAACACCATTAACATTCCTTGAGTCTTTCCATGAATTGATAGTTAACTCATTTTTATCACTCAAAATATCTCCCAAAATATAGATAGCCACACAGGATCGTAACTGTGGTATTTCATCTGGACTTGAGTAAGAACCTCCTAGCAGATCAGTAAAGCTCTGGGTGTGTTTGTAGATGACTGTCACGTAGACCACAAAGTGAGGAGAGAAGACCCACCTGGGATACTGGTGGCACCAAAGGCTTAAGCCTCGATGGAATAAAAGTGGAAAGAAGGGATTCTGCTCTTTTCCTTCAGAGGAGTCCTGGTCTTCACCACTGCCCTCGGACACTGGTTTCTAGTTCCTTCAGGTTTCCAAAATGGACCTCAGCTTTCTGACAAACTCACACCAGCGACTCTGCACTGAGGTCCGAGGCTCTCAACCTTCTGCTGCTACTTGATCCTCCAGCTCTCCAGCATGCACACAGCCATTTTGAATTCATTCTCCTCAAATTCCGCTAAGAGCCACTGGAAGTCCTCCCCTTCTGATCCAGGGCAGCCTACCTAATAACTAAATTAAACAGTTATTTCATATTGATTCTGTTCTTCTAGTGAACCCTAACACAAATTTTAGTACTGAAAGTTGGATCACTGTTCTGAATGTACCTGACCATGTGGTACCTTTTGAACTGGCTTGTGAGAAGAGTCTTGAAAGGTTTGGAGATGCTGGCTGGAGAAGCAACCCTAAAATGCTGTAAGCCAAGCTTAATGGGATATTCTCATCTGAACTCAAAAGACCAGAATGCTAAAAGAAATGCAAACAGTAAAGGTTTCCAAAGGTTTCAGTTGGGAACAAGAATTGCATTGGCAGTTGGCATCCAGGCCATGTGTTATGCTCTCACAAAAAAATTTTCTACATTTTACTCATGTCCTAAAACTTATGTAGGAGACTATGATTAAGAACAGCCAACTAATTAATCTGGTGGAGGAAATCTCAAGCCAGCCCATTGTTTAGACTGTGATATGGGTACAGTTGTCAACTGTTGACCAGTTCTATGTAGAGAATCAAGAGCAAATAGCACAGCTGACTGATCTTTAAAGTTTTTTGTTTTGCCAGAAAGGAAAGGCCTATAAACTTGAAGCAGAGGAGTGGTTAGTTGCTAAAAAGATTAGCATTAAAAATAAGCCAAGTATTTTGCATTAGGTCAATAGGAAGGATGCCTTTAGGACATCTCAGAAATCTGAAAGACCTCATCTTTGGCAAGCTGAAAGGTTCAAAAGTGAAAGATTTTGCTGCCTAGGAATTTTTTTTTTTTTTTTTTTTTTTTTAGTTCAGTTCAAAGTGTTCAGCCTTCCAGTCACTCAGGTTACTGCATCCTTGATACAAGGGGCCCTGGATACTGCTCAACCTGGAAACAGACCTTGGAATCATCTGTGTGGTGTTGGTTTCACAGGCATGCAGACTGCAACACTTGTGGGGTCAGAGAGACTTCCACCCAGATTTTGGAAGGCCTGGGAGACTAGGCAGGATGCCCAAAAGGCCAGTGCAAGAAACTCTGAAAGTAAAGCCAAAAGTGCAGTGGAAACCCCAGGACATTGGACAGGAATGTAACACAGAATGTCTGCTGAGAAAAGCTGCAGGCAGTGATGAGAGGCTGCCCAAGAGAAAGGCCTGAGGGCTAGTGCAGGCAGTGTTGCACAGGCAGGTCCACCCAAGCCGTTTGAAGCTCACATCTCACTACGGCCTGCCATGGATGCTGGACATGGAACTTCAGGACTTAATGTTGCCCTCTCAAGTTCTAATATTGCTTTGGCTCCATTCTTTTCTATCCTCCTTCTATTCATTCCTCCATTTTGGAAAGAGAATGCTTATCCTTTGCTTCGTATGTTGGAAGTATTTAATTTTCTTTTTGGATTTTACAGGGGCTCACAAGTGAAAGTTTCCTTCTAGTCTTGGAGATTTGGGACTCAGAATTGCCAGCAGTGCCGAAATGTAAAATTCTTTGCAACTCTTAGAGATGGACTATATGTATTTTGCATAAAGAGATGCCCACATATCCTTTGGGGACCAGGCTAGAATACTGTGGTGCATATGTTTCCCGAGAGAGTTATGTACTCAAAGGCAAGTTTTTGGAACACAACTGAATTATGGGGGCACTATAGCTGACTTGTCATTTGGATGTGGAGCCTGATTGGAGCAAGTGGGTCCCTGGGGGCACGTCTACCTCTCTGGCTCTTCTCCTCCCTCCCTCCCCCCACCCTCTGCTTCCGGGCCACTATGAGGTGAGGAGCTTTCTTCATCCAGACCCTTCTGCCATGCCTTTGAGCCAGCCAACTATGGACATAAGCCAAAATTAGCCTTACCTCTTTTAAGATGTAGATGTCAGGTATTGTGTCTCAGTGACAAGAATATTACTAAAACATCAAATATACCACTCATGGAGGAGAAATCCTTAGTTTGAACCCAGAGTATTGCTCATGCTAAGTTATATCCCTGAACCTCATGGGAAATTTATTCATAAGCTTAAGTTTCTTATAGCAGACAGCAATTTAGATAGAGAAATAAAGGTTTAGAATTAAGTTCAATAAATTTCCAAGGTGAGGACATGTGATGCCTAACCCACTGCCAGTAGATTGATACAAAGGCACAGCACAAATCACCTAATCTTTCACACAAATCACCTTTTAGGCAGTATTATTGTCTCTTTTATACAGTTAGAGAATTCAAAACAAATATAAGGTACCACAACTTGAGGTATCATAAGCAGACTTAAGATAAATTATGGAGCCTAATCTCAAATGAGTACCCATAATCTATAGAGGCTTTATTGGTTTGGGATATGAGAATACATGATTGCAAGAGTCTATTATAACAGCTTGTCTAAAATCACAAGGAAAATGTTCAACAGAATCAGACAAGAAGAAAATTATGGCACAAATTTCATGCCAATTTTCACTGCAAACCCTGGTCAACAATATCGAATGATGCTTCACTTCTGTCATGCAACTGCCATCAGCACTATGTTGAGCTCTTTTAATTTGTGCAAGTATGATCAAATTACCTTTAAAGTTAGTACAATAACTACATGCACATATTTTCAGATAGGCAGAGTAGAAAAAATATTAATGTGCTCTTAGGGCTCTGCTTAGTAATTTTGAAAAGAATTTGCCATGTTGGAGATCATGTGAACAATAGCCTTAAAAGATTCCATGTCATGGAAAATAATTTCCTCCAACAAATTTGAGTCAATAATTTTTCTTGAAATTGGATAAGCCAGCATGACATTCAGGACTCAAGTT